ATAGACCATTGATCCTATGCACTAGACTTCAAGAATCTGAGATAGACCATTGATCTCGTGTGTCATGCTTCAAAGATCTGAGATAGATCATTGATCACATGCACCATTGGAGGAGAAGACTTGGATTGGGGTGGGCAAAATCTAGTTGACGTAATCTTCTGACAATCTTCTTTATAGTTTGCAATATTATGTTTTCTTGTTCCTATGAGTATTATGTGCTTCATGATCCTAAGATCAAGTTTATGCAATTTCAATTGTGTAATAAAGAATAGTGGCATCAAGAGAGAGTCCTTGGGATTTTTATTTTTTTTTTATTGTTTCTCATTATGTATTTAGCCCCTTGTGAGTAATTCGAGTAGTGAAAATAAAAGAAAAGAATAAAAATTTTAATCGCTATACACTTGCCCAGGTTATATAGTCCTACTTCCACCCTCATCCTATCGGATTGCTACATCAACAATTCGGATAAGGTCTAGATCAATAATACAAAAAGTATTTAAAAATAAACAAAACCAAATAAAAATAAGAATACGGGTTCATAGGGTGGGTATTTTATGGGACATAAAAAAATATTAGACAAGCTTAGAAATGAAAAATATAAGACGGGAGGATTTGGGACTGATCGAACAGGACCCATACCATCTCATAACTGACTTGCTCCCAACTTATTCCTATCCAGATTGGCGATCTGGATCGAAAATCAATGGGTTTTAACACACAACTTTTGCTCACTAAAAGTATATTTCTCAATGTCAAGCTTTCCCCAATTGTTATTCACTTTGAAAGAAAAATATATGTGGTATAGTAATTGGTAGGTTTCGGTCCCCGGATTGTTGGTTGCTTAAAGCATAAATGGCATTTGGTCGAAACTAAGTGAAAATTGATATCTAACTGGCCACTAATTGGTTTTGACCAATTAGACCAATCAACTTTGATTGATTAGATCGACAAAACAAAATTAATCAACTATTTTGATACCATATTTTGCATGTTTAGGTTATTATTTTTGCTCTTTCTTTATTTTTCAAAAACTGATTTAACTAATTTGACTGGCGTTCAGACCGATTGGATTGGACCAAGCTCCTCGCCGGTTTGAGATCCGACTCACTGATCCATAACACCCAACCTATGCTTTGAGTAGTTCTAAGTTCGATAGCTCTGGAGTGTGATAATGGATCCAGTATTTGTTTACTATCAGTGTCTCAATCCCTGGAATAATTTACCCTTTTTCAGTAAAATACCAATACGTCACACAATTTGGATCCGATTTTAATGGCACCTTCCTAATATGTCTTCAAGTCCCTACAAGGACCTTGAGCTTCTTTCAATATCCTGCCAGGTTCGAGAGCAGCTGAATATGTTTACATTGGGAAAAGTTAACGTGGATCCTTGTTTCCAAAATTTTAATTCGAACGGTGGGTAAAACTTCTAGCTAGGATGGTGGGAGACCAAAAAAATGATGATATATACATTCTTAGGTAAAGTAAGAAAGGAAAGAGTTTATATTAGGTGTAACCTTATATTATCTAGATAAGGCTAGGTAAGACGCATATCGAAAACTTAGATAAAAGTTTTTTTTGTGTTAAAAAACCCTCTAATTGATCATCTCCACCTCAAGATGTATACATACAAAAAACAAAAGAAATTTGAAGTCTTAAAAATAATGAATATTGTAATGCATTATCTGAACCATTAATTTTCAAAATTTTCAATTGTTCATATATATACTCGATCTGCATTATTTTTGAAGCTTCAAATTTTATAATTAAGGCAAATAGTTTTGAGATTACGAAGGAGGAAAGAGGTACATCTAAGGCAGATATTGCTTTGAATTAGAATAATCTCATCAATCTTAATATAGGTAAAGTTATGTCGAAAGGTAAATGGCTACCTCTACCGCCTTCGTTAGGGAAACTCAAGAGTGGCTAGCATTGGTAGAGTGTTGCGAAATAGTAGGGGCAAATTTTTAGTCTGCTATGCTCGTCTGCGTGGATATGTCTCTGTTATAGTTAGCAAATCGGGGACTTTCAATAAATCGACGTACTTTAAAATTGACAAAAATTTGTTTGTATTTTAAAAAGTCAGATAAAAAAATCAGATAAAAAACACGGATCGGCAAAAATACTTCATGTAAAAATTGGGTGTGGTTTGTATAATGTCTCGACCTAAAACAGCCAAAATAAGGTGCACCACCAAATTTTGCTAGAAGATGTAGTTCTCAGGTCTAAAATTTTTTAGAAAGCCTAAGAATCTACTTTTACCTTTAATTATGAAATTTAAACTCCAAAAGTAATGTAAATTGAACATATCTATGAACAATTGAAAACCTTGAAAATAGACGGTCCAGATAATGCAATACAAAAAGATCATCTTTTTTTTTTTTCATATAAAACTTTGTATCTATTCAATAACACTTTTACTTCTATAATACACGATTGAAACCTTATGTAAACATTTTTCTAAAAAAATAATTTCAAATTATCAAAGATAATTTTCGCTAGGTTCTCATTAAGCATGCACCTCACCATAATCCATCATGATGTATAATGCATACCATGCATGCAACGTTGGCGGTCTTGAGACTATTGACACATGCCCCACGTCTAAATTGAGTCCAGGCACAAGTTTTGGCCCAATACATCCAAGGAAAAAGTTTATATAAGGATGCAACCTTATAATGTAGAAGTACAGATGCACTTCAAAATCCATCAGAAAAGGTAATTTTGATGTTGGAAAAACCTTTTTGATTGATCATCTAGACATCGAGATGTATGACCATGAAAA